GGAACGATGACTTGCCTTAAGGCTTCGATCTTCCAGACACCTCTCGGCATTGTTTTGATTTCCGTCCACTTTGCGTCCAAGCATTGTAGATGACGAAGTTTCGCCACTGAAGACGGAAGACTTGTTATCCCTGTATTTTTCAAGCACAAGTATCGCAGATGAATCAGGTCTCCAACTTCTTCTGGCAATTCGTCGAATAGCGCCCCCTCCAGATCGACGACTTTGAGCAGTTTCAGATCTCGATCGGAGAAGACTCTATTTATATCAACTTGGCAACGGGTTCCGAACGACAGAAAGGTGCGCAGTCTTGGGGTGGACTTCGAGTCCCAGCACCACGTTTTTTCCCCCTGAAGAGAAAGCCGACGCACGGAGGAATCCAGTTGGGAGACGCCTTCGTCGTCTCGGATCCCGTGAGAGACGAGGAAGCCCACTTCCTTAGCCTCTGCAACGGTCAAATCGTGCAGCAGATCATGGATCCGGCAACTTACCTCAATTATCGGGCCAGATTCATCTTGCACACGTATCACCATGCACCTCTGGACGAGCTCTTCCAGATAATCCTCTGCAGTTTCTTCCAGTGTTTCACCTTCTCTTTGCTCGACGAACCCCTCCGCGATCCATAATCTGATCAGCTTGTCGACTTCAATCTCGAAGTCCTCTGGAAGAGAACTGAAATAAAGGAAACACCACTTTAGGTGACGGGGTAAGTCCTCGTAGCTCAGCGCCAGTATATCCAAGCACACTCGGCCTTCCTCCATGTTTTCCCAGACGAGTGTATCCGCGAGCCTCTTCCACGCCCAGAATGACGGATCTTTCGTGGACAGCAGACCGCCGAGCACCACCAGAGCCAGAGGCAGGCCCCCGCATTTCCTCGCGATTTCTTTCCCCAAATTCCTCAGCGATTCTGAGCAGATTGCTTCGATATCCTCCTGATTCGGGAACGCCTTCTTGGAGAGGAGCTCCCAGCTCTCCTCCTTGCTAAGTGGCCGCAACTCAAGGGGAGGGGTTGATGGATCCGCAGCTCGGGCGACTTTTTTGTCGCGGGTGGTGATGAGCACCCGGCTTCCGTTCTGGGCGTCTGGGAGATGCCGACTGAGGATTTTCCAGACCTCGGTGTCCCACACGTCATCCATGACGATCAAGTAGTTCTCCGCCTCCAAGGTTTCGTAAAGCTTCTCCTCACACTGGGCCCTCGTCATTTCCTCGAGTTCCTTTACTCCGGTCACCGTGAGCTTCCGAAGAATGTCTCGAAGGAGAGACTCAGGGGAGTACTGCTGGGAGACATCGATCCAAACCGAGAGACTGAACCTGGCTTTTGCTTCGTTGAAGACTCTCTTAGCAAGAGTGGTCTTCCCGAGGCCGCCCATCCCCACAATCGAGATCACCGACCGCCTCTTCCTGCTCCCATCCAACAGATGCCTCAGGATCCTGTTCTTCTCCTCGTCCATGCCGACAAGGTCAGCATCTGGGGCGTGGAGAACGACCCGCCTTCGTTCCCGCACTGTGTTGTCGATCTGCCTCTCCGGCTCTCCGCCCAGGTCCTCGATTCCGTAGGTGCTTTTTTGTCTACTGATTTGGTCGATTCTGCCCTGTATGGCCTCGATCTCATTACCGAATTCGCGTTGGGCGATGAAGTCGCGGAGAGGAAGGAAACGCACAGTGGTCCGGATGAACCCCTTTCTACGTCGTCGCCTCCGCTCGGTATCGAGGACGTAGGACTCGACGACTTCCTCCGCCTGATAAGCGATTTCCCTCACTTGCCTCACCCAGTTCTTCACCCTTTCGTCCCGCTTGCTCTTCGTGTCGGCATCCTTCAGGAAGCACTCCATCGTCTTGAGCTCCTCCTTGAGCCACTCCACCTGATCTTTCACTTCGTACAGGAAGACCGCTTCATTGATGAGGAGATCGCCTATCTGTTGCACGGCGTAGCCGAGAACAGCGTCCGCCATCCTTCTCCTCCTCTCGCCTCCTGCTCTCAGCCAGATCTGGAAATGCTTCTCCGAGTGAACGCTAAAGTTGATGATTAACCCAACAATTGTGATGAAACACGATTTATCGTGCCCACTAATTTATGAAACAAATTCCGAGATATTGAAACCTGAATGGACTCATGAGGACCAATTACACGTCACGATCGTGGCACAATGGAAAAGCTTAGACCGAGGAACCTTGTAGGTGGAAAGTCCATCGCCAAGTAATACATCTCGTCACCCACCCGCGTGCCAACAAATTGGCCAACAAAGTCAACGCTTATTTTCTAACCCAACCCCGTCTATGACAAAAAAGAAATTATTTAAAATAATGCTCACGAAGAGAGGTGGTAAAATGTCCCAATCAAGCGCTCATACTTGACCACTATGGGCAATTATTAAATGAATAACAGTAAACAGCGAAAATCGAGCGCTTCTCCTGAATTAATATTATGATGGTTACATTATAATATAGACATTTAATCATCAATATATTATTATTTTGACATTAAAAATTGTCGTCCAAGCAAAAAGCAGTGACTCTCTCGCTCTCTCTCTCTCTCTCTCTCTCCCTTTTTCCGACGCGGAAACCATGTCCGGCGTAGTCGACGGTCAACCGGGGCGGCTTCCGATGCGGCGGGGGTCGCCGTCGATAATAGTCATCGTAATATTTCGGATCATAATCATCATTATCGTCTAGATTATGGTGGGTTGGACAACCAAGCCGAGAAAAAATCCGAGCCGCTTGACCAGTTGAGTAAGATCTCTCTCTCTCTCTCTCTCTCTCTCTCTCTCTCTCTCTCTCTCCCCCCCCCCCCTCTTCTCCCCTTTCCCGTTGGAAAGGATGACATTCTCCAGTGAGAGAGAGAGAGGGCTTTAGCCTAAAAATAAAAGGTGTTATTTTTGTATTATTTACGATAATAAATAAGATACTTTCGTTTAAATAGGAAGGTATTCCGTTCGCCCATCCGTCGTGATTTGATGGTCGGAGATGTGACTGCCGTCAAACCCTCACAACGTCAGCCGATTGACTTTTGCAAAGTCAATGCCTTAAAACAGTCGCCGCACCGTTCAATGGGAGATCACTGACGCGGTCAGTCCCGATCCGGCAAGCCCCCCTGATGGCAGATTGAAAGAGCCTTATTGCGGCGAGGTTGGGCACAGGCATTGCCGTGAAAGTCAAAGTTTGACCTTCGAGTTTCCATCTTTAGTTGCCGACTTCCGAGTTCAGATGTCGAGTTTTGACCGAATATTTATCTGTAGAGGAAGAAGCAGAACGCGTGGACAGCAGAGCGGGGTTGACGTCCACTATGGTGGCGCCGCCGTTCTGGATGTTTTAGCAGGATCACACGTTGACGAAGTTATAGACGGAAGCTCCGGGTTCCTCGCCCAACTCCTGCAAGCTCCTCCCACTGTCTGCCTTCCTCGCCTTGGTTACCGATCCCTCGGAATTCTTCACGTCGCCGGAAGTAAAGCCGGAAGCTGGATAGAGAGAGAGAGAGAGAAAGAGAGGTGGATAGATATATACATACATACATACATACATACGGAGAGGGAGAGATTGGTGGATAGACAGATAGATACATACATATATGGATACATAGAGAGAGAGAGAGATGCGTGGACAGAGAGATACATTCATACATACATACATAGAGAGAGATAGGTGGTTAGGTAGTAAATACATTGATTGATTGATAGATAGAGAGATAGAGAAAGAGAGAGATACGCCGTACATGAGAAGACCACGTTAGCTGGTCTCAAGACATTCCCTCTTTGATTCCCTCGTCTCTTAGAGGAAATGGGTATTCATCGGTTAGACTTTATCATTTACTAATAAGTATAAATTCCTATGTATGTAAATTTCCTTTAAAATAGAAATCAAGTGTTGACTTTATTTAGAATGTGGGCCAAATCGGGCTCATAAAAGTTTGTTAACTCATTACAAATAATACAATTGAAAGCCTTTTTTGTCTTTTTGCTCATATATTGTGCAAATTTATTATCAGGCGCAGATCATTTATTAATCATTTATTCTGTAAAGGAGCCTCCCATAAAAGAAAATTACACATAAATCCTCACTCGTCTACCAAAATTCTGTCTTTCAAAATTACCTGTTTTCTTACAGACTTTATTCGAATATGCCTAAAAAATATACAAATATAAAACAATTATTTATTATATGGTAAATGCTACAAATTAGCTAAAGTGTTTCAAAGTACTGAGCTCCCCACATCGCAATAAAAATCTATAAATTTATAAATTCTCTTAATTTTTAAGTCCATCATTTCGCTATATTGCAAATATGCACAATATTATGGTCCTTTTAACCATAAATAATGTATTTATTCCAGTTGCAAGCCCTGGATGGGGTTAAAAATTTAAAATAATCATGCTGGTAAGACCATGTAGTTTTTTTACCTATACACCCTCCCAAAATCACACATTCGACTTTACATCCCTTGGGACCTAGCTTTAGTCTCACCGAAAAGTCAACGGTCTACGACGGTAATGAAGCCGGCGGCAGAGAGAGAGAGAGAGAGAGGGTGGGTTGGTGTCAAGCTGGAGGCTATTCGTTTCTTGGCCGGATTCATTATCTGACGGCGGTTGTAGAAACGGTAAGTTCAGATAAAACGGCGTTGACTGGTATTTACCAATGGGAGAGCGCCGCGTTCAAGGAGACACCTACCCACATGGAAGGACGAGAGAGAGAGAGAGAGAGGGAGTCGCCCTTGTAACTTTCCTCTTTTCTCCCCGAGTCAGCCAGAAGGGGAGAGAGAGAGAGAGGGGTGGTCTGCGGGAGCTTGGGATCCACAAATCGCCGCGATCTGAGCCGCCGTCCGTCTCGCCCCGGGGGGAACCGGGGATCTTGACGAAGCGGGGGATGTCGGCCATGGCGGCCGGAGGATTGAGACCATTGGAGTCGTCGACGACCTTTGGTTGCTGAGGCGACCGTCATCCCCGATTCCATCTGCTGGTTGGTCCCTGCTTGTAGAGAGAAGATTGTGCGTGCACAGAAAGGGGGAGCGAATGCGGGTGGCTCCACCTTCTGGATCGCTGGCCCCGGCAGCAGCCGGGGCCGCCGATGAGCCGCCGCCGAGGATTTACGAAGTGTGGAAGGGCAATAATGTAAGTGTTCGTTGCTATCTAGGGTTTTATTGCAGATACGAGCTTATTCTTCCCGTCATTGAAATCTTTGGGTATGCTCGCGATTTGGGAGAATTCCGATTACTCGTTGCCTGAATCCTCGCTCGAATTATGCCGTGAAAATTTGTGCATCACATTTGTTTTCTTTAAAGCGTGTTGACTTCCTGGACAATTACGCGGCTGGATCAATTTGGAACAACAAAAGTCTACGAGGAGAATAATCTATTTCTTCTTTGATCTACGCGATCTCTCTCTTTCAGATGTGTTTATCCTTGTGTCTTTACCTCCTATCTCCTGGATTGCGCCTTGCAGATTTATCATGTTATCTCCCACTTCTAACGGGAAAAGTTGGTCCATGCCAAATATTTGGGAATGGGAAGACTCGGATCGTGTTTCATGAATGGATCCCGAGTTGGTTAGCTTGTATTCGCGTGGGAGCAAGGGTATAAGGCTATCTGTTAGTCTATGGTTCACTAGAGGGTATTTTTATGGTTTCTCCTGTATATTTAACCTAGTAATAGTGCTAGCCTAAGAGACGAACTCCATCATTATGGTCAAGTTTCAACACTATCTTCATGCCCAGAACAATAGTGCTATGTGATTGCTTGGCAGGGATAATCAAACTGTTTGCTTTTCTAGAGTCGGAGCAAGCCATTTTAAGTTGGTTGAGGAACGCTAATCGTACATAACTTCTCTTTATCAGTTCTTATGCATTGCAGAATGAGTATACACAATTCATGCATTTAGGAGAATATAATTGTACGCACAGTTTTTCAATCAGAAATATGCTAATTTATACATTTAATTTACCAAGGCTGTCAAATTGCAGCATGCGCCACGAGTGAATTCACGGAGTTGTGTATATCATTTTGATGCTATTTCTTTTCCATTTTTCGTACCGATCCGTGCATGAAGAATCTGTCGATCTGGGCTTCTTTCATGAGTATATTTGTGCACGTAATCGTTACAGTATTCTCTGAAACCGTTAACCTGGAATATGAACATCAATTGTATTGGACTCTTATCCACTAGTTTTACTGATGTTTTGTGGATTGTGCGTTTGTAACACGAGCATACATATATGATGATTGTTTGGAAAATATTGTTGAGGAGGGTTAAAATCCAGTATTTGATACCTCTACTGTTGTCTATCCATTCCGAAGGAATCATTCATGATACCACTTGATAGAGGATCAGTTTTGTTCTCACGGGACCGAAGCTTATGAGGCAAAAATTGTGGAGGACGATATAACTGTTCGTCATAGAGGCTCTGATTCTCTCCTTCATCTAGAGGAAGTTGATGTTCTCAGACACATTGACGAAGATCTACCCCTCTTGGGGATTATAGATATGAAACCAGTATGAGGATGCTGTTCTTGAAATCATCTAAGCCGAGTTTGGGGTTAAAAAATCCGAGGGAAATTCCATAAAAATGAATGACTAAGTGGGGTCCCATCTAGTTTCATGTCAGACTCCAAACTGAAGACCAAGAGACATTTAGGCATAGCAAATCACATGAGATTACTTGAACGAGGCTGGAGATGGTTGTAGAAAATGTTGTAGAAAATTAGTACAATTGAACCTAAGGGTTTGTGCCTAGACATGGGAAGTAGCTTCTGTTTGCAGTCAAAATGTGGCAGCGGGAGAAACATATGATGAGGGGTGGAAGATGGAAATGAGTCAACGTTGAGAATCAATGAATCAATAAGCTCTTGTCTGAATTAGGAGCGAGGGGCTTATGACTCACCCGGCAAGATTAAGAAAGCCTTTCTGAGCGGGTTTATTACTTCTAATAATGTTCCATCCTCATAAATACCATCTTCAGGAATTATGTGTACTGATAACTTTTCACATAGGCCAAAGTTGAGTGAGAACTTTTTCCGTACTAGATATTTTTTTAGAAAGGAGTTTACTAGATTATTACAGTAGGCAGATTGACCCCTCTGGACTCCCAGGTCTACCTGTCTAATTGTACCATGTCTAGCTAGCTGAATTGACTTCTTCCACTATTAGGTCAATCTATTTCAGTACCTCCTGAGCCAAATTCTTAAAGATTGATTGACCCGCAATCTGTCAGCCTGTTCATTCCCTACTTTCTGATCTACATTTTAGGTCAACCTAACTTCTTTGGTTTTGGAGCACAGCTTTTTCGGATCTACCACTCATTGGCGTGGGTTCACCTGTCTTCCTCTAGTCGGTCCACCTTGATATCTGTTTGGCAAATTTGAAGACAAAAGAAGCTGGTTCAGCCTACCATCTGGCCAGGTTGTCCCTTCTTTGTTACTGGCGCTTTACAGTCTGAAAAAGCTGCCCCAGGGGTAGTTGCCAAGTTTTTCTTTGAATCGTGGACCGCAGCTGCTCACAAGTGTCCGTTTGGCCATCTAAACCGAAAAATAACATCAAAGGATCTGTGGAGAACATGAATGGAATATTTTAGCTTGCACTTTCAATTCCGGATGATTTGAATTATCAAAGTTCTCATCCTTGTCTTCAAGGAGGCAAAGCTGAGGGTCTGTTCATGCTCTTCGTAATCTTGTGTTTTGAGCCCAGTTCTTTTGTTTTTCATCCTTTGTGTGGCCATTTCACGGCAGAAGACATGGTTGGTGTTAGAAGCACTTTTAAGGATGACGTGTTATCTTTATCTTGCCTTAGGGAAGAGGATGTAGGCAAGGCGCGAAATCGCCCCAAATCACGTTTCCCTTTGTGTTTGAAATCGCCCCAAATTACCTCCGATTCTATCTTACTTTCCTGCAACAGATTCTCATAACCCAGCTCTCTCTCTCTGTGTTCTCCTTTACTAGTGCATTGCTGGTCACTATTATCTCATTCTCATCCTTCTCTCGTCAAACATCGCTAATTTCTTGTTCCTTGAGGTTTTCATATAATGCCTTACAGTTCATTAACATTTTTTAATATTACCAATAAATGGGTCAGGTTTCATAAGGTTTTTACAAAATTTCTTAATTTGCCTCGATTTTTTTATTATTTAACGGGGAGTATACTTCTGAATAGTTCTTGATAATCCTCACTGTACATCACCTCTTAGTACTCGACCATGGGCAGACTCCAGCTACTCAAGAAGGTTGAAGATAACAGTTGACTTGCTTTGATGTCATGGAGGCCCATATGGTTTGACTTCCCCTTCAGCTTGGAGTGTGCCGCAATCAGAACTGTGACGGGACCCAGCTTCATGGAGACTGTAGACAGTCTTAGAGTTAATGTAAAAATAAAGGGAGGGATAGGACATCTATGTTTGTTGAGTGGGAAACTTGCGCAGGAGCAATCTATCCATGGTAAATAAAAATGGGTTTAGTTTCTGTGTGAGATTTGGCTGCCGTTTTCTGGGGTTTGGTTATCAAGAATATTCATTTCGGTCACATAACGGTTCGTTGGTGACCGGATCACCCAGCGCCTGACAAGGAATTCGTGCAGAGCGGCCAGCTTCAAATGCCCTTTTTTTTATGTGGAAAATGGAATAAGTGCAGATAAGATATAACTCGGTGGTGTATGGGGATCAAATCTTGGTGTTGATTTTCTGCTGCGAAGTTTGTGAATTCTTGTATGTTGGAGGCTTTATGATTTATTTATTTTTGCAAAAATCAGCATGCACACTTTATTAAAGTCTCGGACAAATGAAGCAATAGGACTTTATTATGATCACATGCATAGATTCGCATGCAGATGTATATGTGGATATTCAATTTGCATCACTGTCTATTTTTAAAATCTTTATCATGCTACTATATGTGTTTCAATTGGCACTTGTGCCGTACCCAATAGATCTTAGCTCTTTATTATCACTTTGTATGACTAGGATTTGCGACACCCCAAGAGAGAGAGAGAGAGAGAGAGAGCTTTAGTTCTCTCATATTGCTTCTTCTTCACTTGGTGCTAAAAAACACGGCTGTTTTGGATGCCATGCAGATATTCTTCCTCCAGGGAAGGCTCATATTCGGACCAGACGTGAGGTCGCTGTTCCTCACCATCTTCCTCATCGTCGCTCCAGTTTCAATCTTCTGTGCCTTCGTCGCCAGGAACCTCATGGACGACTTCTCCCATCACTCGGGCATATCCATCATGGTCATCGCCGTCGTCTTCACCATATACGTGAGTTCCCCCCTCCTCTCCTCCCCCCACCCCCCCATCTCCTCTCAAGTTCCACCTCCCACTCATGGCGGCCCCTCTCTCCTTCCTTCCCTACAGGATCTGGGTCTTCTCCTCCTCACCTCCGGCAGAGACCCTGGCATAATCCCCCCCAACGCCCACCCCCCCGAACCAGAGAGCGGCGGCGATGCTGCGGCAGATGGCCAGACGCCGCAGTTTCGGATGCCCCGCGTGAAGGACGTCGTCGTCAATGGGATCACGGTGAAGATCAAGTACTGCGACACCTGCAAGCTCTATCGGCCCCCCCGGTGCTCCCACTGCTCCATCTGCAACAACTGCGTGGAGCGCTTCGACCACCACTGCCCGTGGGTCGGGCAGTGCATCGGCCTGGTAAGCGAGCATAATCCCTTTTCCTAAGATTTTATTTTATTTTCTTTATTTTTTTAGAGCTCGCCATTGCCGCCGGATCTGACTCGTTTCGAGCTCTGGGTCTGGGTTGCAGAGGAACTACAGGTTCTTCTACATGTTCGTCTTCTCCACCACGCTGCTCTGCCTGTACGTGTTCGGGTTCTGCTGGGTTTACATCAGGCGCATCATGGACTCCCACGAGACGACGGTGTGGAGGGCGATGGCCAAGACCCCCGCTTCCGTTGTTCTCATCGTCTACACCTTCGTCTGCGTCTGGTTCGTCGGAGGCCTCTCCGTCTTCCATCTCTATCTCATCAGCACCAACCAGGTGAGTGGAATCAGCCCCATTGATATCTCTCTCTCTCTCACACACACACACAGATTCTTTCTCACTCATCGAGAAGAATTCATATTCATATGCTAATTGATCTGTGTGTTTCTCTGTCTTGATCTCGATCTCGATCTCGATGTCGATCTCTTTCGCTGTGGATTTGGCAGACGACGTACGAGAACTTCAGATATAGATACGACCGGCACGAGAACCCCTACAACAGGGGGTTGGTGGAGAACTTCAGAGAGATCTTCTTCTCCAGCATCCCTCCGTCCAAGAACAACTTCCGCATGCTGGTGCCACCGGAGGAGACCTTGCCGGCGCGCGCAGTCAGCGGCGGCGGCGGCGGGTTCATCGGCGGGAACATGGGGAAGGGCGGCGCCGGGGACCTCGAGTCGGGCCGGAAGCCGTCGTGGGATCACGACCCGTCGTCGGTCACGGCGGTGGGCGACCTTGAGGCCGGCGAAGGGGCGGCGGTGCTCAAGGACGGCGGTGGCTCCGACATCGGCGGCGGCGACGACTACCCATCTGAGAGCTCGGAGATGTTCGGCAGCGGGCACCACCCACGGCGGTCCAGCTGGGGTCGGAGGAGCGGCAATTGGGAGATCTCCCGCGAAGTGCTCGCCATCGCCGCCGGCAATGATGCTGGCGGCGCCGCCAGAAAGGTGTAGAATTACGTAAGTCGCATGCTTGTTCTGTCATGGTTTAATCTGAACGCCGATTGTGTATAGCAAAAAACTGCGGATTTCAGGCTGGAGGACCTGTCGTCTGCTTCCATTCGAGAGTATGCTTCCATTTCTCTCTACAGATTCTCCCTCTTCAACGGGTGGACTGATAGATAGAGAGAGAGAGAGAGAGAGAGAGAGAGAGAGAGAGAGAGAGAGAGAGAGAGAGCCCAGTAGTCGGGTCATAGCTTGGCGAAAGTGGGCTTCCTCTTTTGGATCTGGGCGGTGGTAGCCTCAGCGAGATCATCAGAGATAAGCATCGACGAGTTCCACGTGGCCACGTAGTCCAGGCTCTGGTCCACCGTCAGATCCCTGTTCCTCAGCAGCACCGCCTTCGTCCCCGCCACCGCCAGCGGCGACTTCGCCGCCAAGTCTGAAGTAGCGCCGCCTAAACTGATCAGGAACCAGCGGTGGAAAGAAGAAGAAGAAGATGATGATGATGATGGAGTTTACCCTTGGCGATGGCCATAACGGCGGTGTCCATCTCCTGCCGGGAGGGGAAGACAGCGGATACGAGGCCCATGGCTCTGGCCTCCGCCGCCGGGACCTTCCTCGCCGTCAGTGCCATCTCTGCCGCGTTGCCGTGGCCGACGATCGCCGGCAGCCTCTGCAGGGTCCCCAGGTCGGCGGCGAGGGCCAGATCCACCTCCTTCACGGAGAAGAAGGCGTCCTCCGAGCAGTACCGGAGGTCGCAGGCCGTGGCGAGGTCCACTCCCCCGCCGATGCAGGCGCCGTGCACGGCGGCGATCACCGGCCTCCGGCAGCGCTCCACAGCGGAGATCGCCGCCTGCAGGGAGAGGATCTGCCGGCGGAGCCGCTCCCGCTCCCTCCCCGGATCGGATCTCCCACCGCCGCCGGTGATGGCGGCGAGGGTAGAGAGATCGATTCCTGCGCAGAAATGGGGGCCACGGCCGGCGAGGACGATGGCAGCGGCGCCGCGGCGGCCGTCGAGGAGATCGAGGGCCCTGGGGAGCTCGGAGAAGAAATCGAGGGTGAGGGAGTTCCGCTGAGCGGGGCGGTTGAGATAGATGTGGAAGACGCCGGCCTCGGAATCACTGTGCACGATCTGCAGCGTCTTGAACTCCTCGTTCGCCATCGCTCCCCTCGCCCCCGGTCGCCGCCCGCCGCCACCGGAGGAAGACGATGACGGTGATATACTTCTTACCCCTCCACCACCCCATCCGTGAATTTTATTCGCCCCTTGGAATATTTAATTATTTACGTATAAATAAAGTCATGTTATCATATTTAATTATTATTATTTATCAGCTCCTTTTAATAATCGTTAAATCAAATAAGTCATCACATTTGGCCTATTTTCTGTGAGCTATTTTTATTAAAAATGAATCTTGATGGGCCAGTTGTGCCCGAGACTTTTGCCAAACCCAGCCCGATCACCAGACAGACGGAGAGAGAGATATAGAGAGAGAGATACAGATAGAGATATAAAGATAGAGAGAGAGAAGAGAGAGAGAGAGGGATAGAGAGATACAGATAGAGATATAAAGATAGAGAGAGAGAGGGATAGAGAGATACAGATAGAGATAGATAAAGAGAGAGAGAGAGAGAGAGGGAGGGAGAGATACAGATAGAGATAGAGAGAGAGAGAGAGAGAGAGAGAGAGAGAGGGAGGGAGAGAGATATAAAAGATAGAGAGAGAGAGAGAGAAAGAGAGAGAGGAGTGAGAGGAGGAGAGCAGAGGAGAAATATAGGTAGATAGAGAGAGAGGGGAGGGAGGAGAGGGGTAGAAATATTGATAGAGAGAGAGAGGGCGAGAGGGAGGGGTAGAAAGAGAGGAGAGAGAGGGAGGGAGAGGGGTAGAAATATTGATAGAGAGAGAGAGAGAGGGCGAGAGGGAGGGGTAGAAAGAGAGGGAGAGAGGGAGGGAGGGAGAGGGGAGAAATATAGATAGAGAGAGAGAGGGCGAGAGGGAGGGGTAGAAAGAGAGGGAGAGAGGGAGGGAGGGAGAGGGGGAGAAATATAGATAGAGAGAGAGAGAGAGGCGAGAGAGAGGGGTAGAAAGAGAGGGAGGGAGAGCGGGAGAGATATAGATAGAGAGAGAGAGAGGGCGAGAGGGAGGGGTAGAGAGAGAGAGAACAAAGATCTCTCGAGTGTTTTTCAAGTTTTCCCAGAGCTTCCTATACAAAACCCCCATAGACAGCAGCCCACCGGAGGCTAGTACGTAAAAAATTGCAGAAGAGAGAGAAAGCGAACCGGGCGGAGTGGCGTACCTCTCTCTCTCTCTCTCTCTCTCTCTCGCTAGGTGGTGTCGGCAGTAGTCCATTCGTCACTGGTTCAGAGCCAGAGGGCGCCGGCGTCCTTGAGGAGGGGGACGAGGGAGCCGTTGATGTGGGCGGCCATGACCCCGTCCACGGCCCCGACGAGCTTCCCGCCGATGAAGACGACGGGGACGGCGGCAGCGCCGCCGAGGAGCCACCTCAGCGCCGCCTCCATCTCCTCCCCGAGCGGGTCTTCGTCGAGGTCGTAGGCGGTGGGGTTGACCCCTAAATTGCAGAAGAGCCTCTTCACGGCATGGCACATGCAGCAGCCGCTCACCCCGAATATCACCACCGCGCTCTCACCCGCCATCCTCTTCACTCTCTCCATCGCCGTCGCTACCCGCTTGTCGTTCCTCCACCGCTCCGCCACCGCCGGCGCCGCCACAGCCACCTGGTATTGCACCCTCATCCTCACCTGGTAAGAAGAAGAAGATTATGATGATGAGGAAGAAGAGAAAGGAGAGTGGAGGAGGAGAGGAGGGCGGAGTGTAACAGAACCGGCGGACGGGGAATTTATAGGAGGCACTCGGGATGCTCTCTCTCTCTCTCTCTCTCTCTCTCGCTCATTACGTCGTCTCTTGAGAGAGAAGGGAAGAACAGGATGACCTCTAGTACTTTCTCTCTCATCTCGTCCCTGAGAATCCAGCTTTCGATTCCTGATGTCGCGCTATTACATCAGCCTTATGTCGTCCTCTCCCCCTCCCTCTCTCTCTCTAACACACACATGCCATTATTCGCAGCAGGCTTTCGCAGGGGAAATCAGCTCCGGCGACCGCTGGCGCCTCCGCATCTGTCCTCCTTGTCGGCCAGAAAAGGGGCCGGCGACGGTCTCCGGAGGGGAAGGGGGCGGTACGATGGTCGCCATCTTCTGCGGCTTCGAACGCGGAGAAAGTGCACCGGCGACAGTCAGTGCATCCTTCCGACCGGAGGGATGTCGGCATCCAGTCACTGAACAGTCACCCTCCGCCCGGCCGGAATCGCCGGCGCCGAGGAAGACGACGAGCGTCGCGGATCCCCCGCCGCCGCCGTGTCCATTAAATGAATAAAATTTTATTTAGTGGTAAAATAGGAAGAGCATATATTATTATTAAATAAAAAAGGTCAAGTTAGGCGCATTAGAAAAGCTTGATACTTCATTTTTATGAAGTTAATAAAAAATAAAAAATAAATACTTTTTCTGCATGTAATGACTTACGACGTACAATTTTCTAAACATCCGATGCAGAGTAAAATGATAATTTTTATTTTTATATGATTATTAAAAATACCAAATACCTGTATTTACGATTACATTTTTAATTAAAAAATAGAAATTGCTTATGAGACCGGTTCAACAAAGAGCCGGAGGTTGAAAGTTTCAAAAATAATTTTATTTATTAAATGAAATTTACTTGGCGCAAAAATAAATTACAATTATTATTGAAATTTGAAAATAGTTTTATTTAGATAAATCCTATTTTTATGCTTCAGGCGATCATACGGCCGTAGACAAGGCAGCGAGTATCCCGAATTTTTTGTCTGTTCTTGTCGGTCCACGATTTCGGGGATACTCGTCGGAACGACCACTCGGTGGGCTGACGTAGGTGACGTCATCCACTGACGCGGGCTCATAGGGCCAACTGCAACATCAACGGGCCGGCCCGGAAAACCAGATAACGGGCTTTTCCCACCGTGTGAGCATAAGGGCTCGAAAATATAGTCGAGGCCGGGCCTGGGGTTATCCGGCCCGTCGACACCCTGAGATCCAAGGCAGCTTCAGCTGAGGAGAGGATGGAGTCGTGGCATGATCTGAGTGGCTATTAGATCCTGAGAGAGAGGAAGAACATGGGAGGAAAAGAGAGAAAGATGGAGAGAGGACAACGTACGGAGGACCAAAGAAAGCAACCACGACTCTCTGTCTTTCTCTTTGTGTGCCGACTAGCTGAGCCTGGTTACGTCAGCCACTGAGCCTCGAGCAGTCGCTGGAAGGTGTCCATGGCGACGGCGGGCAGCCCCAGGAGGACGTTGACGCTCTTCTTCTCTCTACCATGAGAGAGAAAGAGCGCCACCTCCTTCTCTGGGAGCGCGGCGGGGCCGGCCTGCAGTGGCGGGCCCCATCCGAAATCCGCCACGTCGAAGGGCAGCTTTGACCACGCGGTCACCAGGAAAGTGGCGGCGAGCGACGGCCTGGCCCTCGTTACCTCGAAGAAGTCAATAGCCGACCTTACGAAGTCGTCGTCGACCCTCCTTATCGCCTTCTGCACCTCCCCGACGGCGAACCCCAGAGGCCTCCCCACCAGCTCCCCGGCAGCGCCGCCGGCGCAGGTCAACACGATGCCGTTTCCGAAGTATCCCGGCGGCAGGGGCGGCGCCACCCGCTGCCGCACGTCGACGGCGAAGAGCAGCTTCGTAGGCTGCGACGGCGGCAGCCGCAGCGCCGCCGCTCGAGTCCGCCAGATCAGTCCGGCGAGGGCCTCGAAGGAGGTGCAGCCGGTGAGTTCCCCCTTCGCCGCCGCCGTCCGCTTCAGCTCCTCCAGCTGCTCCGGCGAGAAGCAGAAGGACCGGTACTGAAGCTCTTCTTTTTCTTCTTCCTCCTCTTGTTGTTGTTCTTCCTCTTCTTCACGGCGGCGATGGTGGTGGGGGTGGCGGAGCTCGGAGAACTCTGGGTGGGGGTGACGGATCTGAGGCGGAGAACGGGCGGCGAGGAGGGAGCGGTGGAGGAAGGGAGGGAGGGAGAGGGGCGAGCCTCTGGCCATCTCCGCCCAGGAGTTGATGAACTCCATGGCAGCGGCGCCGTCGAACATGCAGTGGTTTATGGACAGCCCCAGGGTGAAACCGCCGCATCTGAAACGCGTCACCTTTCAAAGATAAATAGAAAGTCAACTGCCGATGCCAAAAGATCCCTCCTGTGGGTAAATAGAAAGTCAAGCGGCGAAGATAATAGATAGATAGATAGATGGATAGTCAACTGACCTGGATGGCGAAGGGAGGGATCTGCAGCAAGTTCTCGGTCCCGGGGAAGTCGCAGACGAGCGTCCCCAGCGCCGCCGTGTCGGTGCTGGAGATGTCCCCGAGCGCGGCCAGGTCGCAACCGGCGTCGGCCTCGACGAAGACGGCGCCCTCACCGGTACAGTCCACAGCCAGCTTCCCCTCCGAGCTCAGCACCACTCTCCCGGCCAGGGGGTAGTAGTGGACAAGCACCCTCCCCAGAGCTTCCCTCATCACCGCCGCCGCCGCCACTGGCGGAGTTGCCGGCCCGAAGCAGTAGACGGTGCGGACGACGACGGCGATGTTCTGGTCAAGGTTGGAGAGGAAGTAGAGTCCCTTCTTGGTCTCCCCTGCGGGAGGGACGAGGACGGGGTCTCCCCTCCGGACGCCGAGCTCCATGCGACCCGCCGGAGGGGAGAAGACGGCAGGAGAGATCCGCCGAGGAAGAAGATGGCAGCGAAGAAGAAGACCCGACTACTTGTAGATTGTTGTACCGGTGAAGCCTCAGAAGAAGAAGAAGAGCTGACTGCTCATAGATTGTTGCACCAGCAGTCCATCTGTAATTTACCGGATTTGGAAACCAGAGGGTGAGTTCTGGGCACCCGGTGGGTGGAGGTTGGGTTTGTATTAGATTGTTAAAACGGGTACGTTGGACCCGAATGGACTCGGACTATTGCTTATATTGGGCCGGGGTGGGCCAATTATTGGATGGTTCGGACCCGTTTCGTGCGGCCTAATTTAACCCAGAAAGGAACCAGATAGACCTTACAAGACAAGTGAGCCAGGATCATTGCACGAGCGCTGGGGGAGGCCCATGCAATGAATTTGGCCCACCGTGGTCCGTACAGTGGGCCGATTCTTGGGTAGTCTGATCTTGACCCAAACTCAACTTCATGTGGGTCCCACAACCCCACACCATCCCCAGGTTAGCTCACAAAGAACAGCTATCTGGATACGCAAGGAAGCTACAACCCCTAACAAGTAAGCCAAAAAGTCAACCTTTGAGCTAGGCGTCTCAACATATTGGCTCAACACGAGAGAGAGAGAGAGAGAGAGAGAGAGATTGAAGAACAGAGAAGTGGGCTTGGGGAATTCTCGAGCCATGATCATCATTGGTCGCTTCCAAGAGACATCTCCTATGGTTCCATTGATCGCCAGTTCACGATTGACCACACTTCCGCAGGCATGCAACTCCCTCTTCCATGTAATCTTGCTTGCTGACCCACATCTCCGATGAGTCCTGCCCACCATGCACCAGGAAGAAAAATTAATCCCCAAAATTATCTCGGGACATTTATCTGTATTTTATAAGACATGTGTAAGGGGGTTTTTATTTAAATAAAATGATTTATTTGGGAATTTAAAATTCCAATATCCAGATAAATTCCCATCTAGAACAGGGACATAGAGGAAAGAGGCAGCTGATACCTTCATGATCTCAGCGAGAACCGTCCCTCCATGGAAGACCATGTGCTTTCTTCGGGGTGGATCCTCGATTCTCAGCCGCAGTTTCTGTTGATGGTGAGGAAGTTGGAGATGAGAAAGCAGGATCGGGAATCTCTCTCTCTCTCTCTCTCTCTCTCTCTCTCTCTCTCTCTTTCGCTAAGCTGTTGGGAGGAACAGCTGCACTCTGAACGATTCCAGATGAGATGGTGGTGGAGAAACTTGGAGATGAGAAAACTGGATTGGATTACCTTCAATCCATCTCTATTTCCCTTCAGGACGACCTCAAGATACCGATCGAGAATTTCTTTCTCCAAGCTGTTAGGAGATACATTCAATTCCATGAGTGATGATGATGGATAGAACCAGGAAATATGAACACAAAGATTCAACCACAGTTCATAGTTTACCAGGAGATGATGCATATAATCTTGCATCACAATAGAAACCATGATTAATAAGATTCTACCAGTTCATAGGTCTATAGGTATTGCTGCAGTTCATGCAACATCTTGGATCACGATAAAAACCAGGTTCATAGATCAGCAGTGGTATTGGAACCACGGATACCATGTATGTTGAACAGGGTTGTTCCAGAAGATCATGAAATACCTCATATTATCATAAAAACCAGAGACTAATAACATTCTGCAAGCTCACAGATCGACGGAGCTACATAAACCACCATATGTATATATGTTACCATGTGTCATACATGACTAATCCAAGAAGATCATACGATATCCTACACCATAATAAAAACCTGATGGAAATAGGATTCCACAGGTTCATAGATCTATGAAGAGTTTTACAGAGAATCTCATGCAAGATGAGAACAACGGTGCGAGTTATCAGGTTTAATGTTCATTTGGCTACCACAGTAGCCAATCCTGACGCCAGATTAGTACCGGACTGGATTGGCTGAATAGGCCAATTCATGGTTTGGCCAAGAACAGGGCTGCAACGAATCGAAACTTGACATTTTCGATTCAGCTGATGCTTAGAAAAATATGAAATCTGGTATTGCGTAAACACTACAGGGCACTCAAACAATGACGATCACACACGTGTCAAAAAAGTTAGTCCCAACAACCTTACTGCATCCGATTATTTCTGATGACTTGAGTTCTTGTGTGTAACTCATCTTTCTTTATTATTTACAAAAAAAAGGGAAGACAAATTGTAGTACATAATTGGAAAAGAGGACTTTATGTGGAGGAAGGAATAGTAACGTTTGATCATTAACAAAAATATAACTACAAAAAGTACTTCATTGAAAAGCGTGGTGGATTACCGGCTTGGCAATCCGGGATACATGGTGCTCCCTCCACTGAGGACAATATGCTGGTATAGCTTCAGATAACAGAAAATCAGATTATATCACATACTAAACCTCCAAAATATGAGATGGGTTGTAATCAGAATGTATGTTTCTGGAAGAGAAATAGGATCAGAGACAAAAAAATCGAAGCACAACACCCCTGATTGCACCGGACACAGGTTTAGAACTTGCAGTGATTTGCATCAAAGGAGAATTTTAGAGAGGCTTGAGTATACTATTATTTCAACTAAATAATGATAATCTCTTCAAGCAATGCTCGAGTCATAACGGTGATGCTGAGAAAGTCAATGGTCACTCCCTGGATAACAACACACTGAGTAAAATGGTTGAAAGTGTCTCAAGTCTTCGGATGTCCACGATATTGTGTTCGAGTTGTCTAGAGATAGATTTAACCACTAATTAGAGGATAGCTACTATAAGTCATTGCTCCTGCCCATTCAGAAAAATTATACCTGTGGCTATGTGGGACATCCTCCACAGAGTGTAGAAAAGATTATTGCCAACTAAAAGGAAGATCACTTTAATCTTGGAGACTGGATTGGTACTTTTTCAGCTTGAACCCTACTGAATCCTTTCCAAAATCAGCTATTATGCCCTAGCCAACCAGAACAAGTGTGAACAAGGTCACCTGATCTCTCTGTTTCAGATTGATCTGGCCTGTCCGGCGGATTTTCTCTGGTTCAACTGGTCATAAATTGATTCTTAGCATTGCCCCATTTTAAAAGCCTTGAAGACACTGTTAAACACTGTAGTCAAAGGTATAATCAACTTTTTAAAAAAGAGATTTTTTTTCTGCATTTCATCATCTTTTACTAGCTTCTGCATTGTTTCCTGTTATCATGGTAGAATTTTTTTTTCTGATAACTAAACAAATGTCCAAATAAGAAGAACAGGCGAAGTATCAAGAGGATTTGATAATGAAGTTAATCATCAAAGGATGAAGAGAACAAAGTGAGCCACCAAAGTGGATGGACTAGAAGACCAGAAGGGAATGGATCGATTTCAATTTCATCATAGTACAACGTTTTCACAATGACAGTCAGGCCTCTATGAGAGAAAAGTTGGGCAAAAATGACCCACTAAGAAACTAGCAGGATGCCGATTTAAGGACGCAGTTAATTACAAAAAACCCATAAGGAAGTGCTAACCTGACCTTTACATAAAAAGAAAACTTCTAATGAAAATAATTAGTACCCGAAATAAGGGTCAATCGGGAAGAGTAAACTATTTTAAAAAAGGAAAATCATGCCCTTAAGGTTTTGACCCATTGGCATCTTATGTGCATGGTTTTTCTCCATCAGGTCGAAAGGACAGAAATTTTTGCAGCCATAGCAAGATGAAGTTAATAAAAAATAATAATTCATTACATAATTAGAGAAATGAATGAGAAGATATGACTACAAACAGTAAAAAAGTTCATTGTTTAATTATAACACATGAACTGCATACCATCATTCGGTTATCAATATCCATTTCCTGAATGCATCGAAAAGCCATGTCAGCCATCCCATCTCCCTCCACATCAATAAGTTCCTGCATCCAAATACATTAGTATATAAAATGCCAAGGGGTCATATCTAAACTCATTGGTATATTAAAAAAAACTAAAAATGATACGTCCTCAGACTTCAACAAGGATAAAAGGCACACTTTCAATGCAATCAGGAAACAGAGAACAATGAGCTTACAGGGGTGAAAAGGGCCTCGGGGGCTTGAAACCGTTCTGTGCCTACTTTAATAATCCGTCCATCTGGCAGCTACCAAAGAAAATCACAATTGAAAGGGGAAGGTAAGTTCCTAATTAATGATGAACAGGAAAAAAATATTTCGGAGGAAAATGTCAGTTTAAATAATTCAAATACTCTAGTATAAGCCACAATCAGAGAAACTCCACACACTTACAGTGTAATTTTTCATTAGGACAGTCGTCTCCAGTCCTAATTGGTATTCACGTTTGTAATCATAACTGTAATATCATTGTGAATCAGTCGTTGCAACAATACTACGAGAAAATCAGCTGGGATACGTGGTTGAAGAGAGTCAAACCTTACATAACACAATTTCTCCTTGATTTCCCTTGCAGTCTCAAAATCTGCAGTCCTATTCACTGAGTACCTTTTGCAACAAAAGAAACCAGAATCACCAGGTCAGAAACAAAAGTCATCATAGAAAAAGGTGGAATTCTTTTTTAAGGTCACAACCTCTTTCAACCAGAAAAGAACCTCACCCTCTTCGACGAAGCAGATCTACAAGATAAGAAGTTATGTGTCTGCCAGCCACATTCATTCTCTTTGTAAGGTGTGGGAATGAGTAACCATCAACGACTGGAACCTAGATACAAACAAAAATTAATAACAATGACAAGAACACGAATGATTATCTGTAAAAAACTGAAACTCTTATGCCATACTTGAGGAAAATTGACACCCTCAGTTACTATTAGGGACGACCTCAACCAAGGAATCCAACCCAGATATGTCTGGAAAGATGTGGATTCCAGAATACCAGTGGCATTAGTCTCCTAGACAAGCCATCGGCTGCCTTGTTTCCTTAAAACTTCTTAAATCCCTCCAATTAGTGGTCAATGTGTCAGAGTAGAAAATGGAGTACGAGTTGACATCCAAGGCACTGGAGTTTTCCAAGAAAGAAGGAAGGAAAACAAATATTACCATTGTGAGACTTTTTCACAACAGAAGGAAAATAAAGTAAAGAAATTCCCAGCAATCCACGAGAACTATGAAAACTGTTCTGAGACACCCGGAACAATATATATATCTATACATACATACATATATATATATATATATTCTCAAATAAATGAATATAAAAATAATAATAATATGTACCGTTTTTTTGAATCACACAAACACAAGTATCAAACAAGTTGACACGAAAAAGCAATTTGAGATAACAGGGCACCATCAGACTTGCAATTTCTGATAGTAACCTGTACAAATAAAAAAGGATGCACCTCATCAATAGTGGGTGTTGATAAAAATTCAGAAAGACAGGGCATACAGAAGATGTCACATTAGGACAAAAATGCCTTGGGGGATCCAACAACGCAATCAGGATTTGTTCAAAGACCTGACCATTCAAACAATGTCAGTTTTCTGATTCTGATGAACAAGGTAAATCAGTTCAGACAGAACTGTGACAAGAACTTGCCATGTCTAAGCTGGATGCGGACAAGAGCCCGTAAAATTTTCCTTTAATGTGCTGGCCCAAAATAAAGTGTATAATATATATACTTTCACCTCAGTAACATGAAGATTAACAAAGTCCACATCATTGGACATCAACTGCTACAAAGAAAAGGTTAGGACTGAAGCATTGGAACACTGTGTATGATGATTGAGAAAAAATAATTTTCCAAATATGAGTTAATTTGTCCAATCAATGTCAGGAAACCTATCAAAATTTTGACTTACCACATGTGTCACACCATCTCCAGAATCAATGACAAGACCAGTCAACAAACCTGTGGGAAAAGAAACAACCAGCGGTCAGAGGATGCTAAATTGTGTTTGCAAAAATCAAACGTAAAACATGCAACATGAGATAAAATATAAAATTCATTTAGGCGAATAGAACACGATAGAAAATTAAGAAAAAATAAAATAGTCACTTATTCCTCCCTTCCCTTCGTCAAGCCTTTCCTTTAGTGATTTGAATGAATAATAAACAGAATACAATGCATATGGATGAAGATTTCTTTATTCAGTTGCATTTTCTTTCCTGAACGAGGAATTTTCAATCAAGAGACGCGTATTAATCAAAATTGTCTCAAGGCGAGGAATTCTTATGAAGAATTCTCATTTAGATTACTCTTTACATACCCTGAGCATATAGTGTCAGAACTGCCTGAATCTGAATGAAGAAACCCATGAAGTTGTATTTCTCAAACATGATCTCCACCTGCGGTGCACGAAACGACATCATGAAAATGACAATATACTCGTCAAGGAAGACAACTGAAGCTGTGGAAAACAAGAGGAATTAAGGAAATAAACCATTGAGGAGAAAAAAACAGGTTACCATCTTCTCACGATTCTTGGAAGGATTCAGAGGTGGGTCCGTCAGTAAAATCTTACACTCCTGGGGGTCTATCTGCAAGAAATGGCAAAAAGTCGTCACCTTTTTAGCCTGGAGCATCCAAATCTGCGACAGGTATGGGGATTAAATGCCTTCAGTTCGTCGTAAAAGGTGTGATCCCAAACGTGGCACATGTCGTCCCAATTCTGCACGATCCCATTATTGACTGGGTATGATATGTCTAGCTGATGCCGGAGCTCTGCACAAGCGTCTCCCACGACGATACCCTTTACCACAAAAAGGCGAAGAAAAAGATATAAAATAAAGAATCATGAATTTCTCTTCCTAATCGGTAATGACGAACGTACCGAGGCCTGCAATTTAGGACCTACAAAATTATTTAGGGAGATCGCATTGTCACACTACGAGGCCAACCTTCAGTTCCTGCTCTGAGAGGGAGCTTTCGTACCGGAGCATCGGTCGCCCGACAACGCAGGGAAACACAGAGGTGGGAAAGTTCTCGCCGGCAAAACCGCATTTCACGTACTGCAAGAGGTCAGTCATGAGGTTCATTCACAGTTTCCCACCTCCGAGCGCTCGACGGTAACTGAGGCAAGTTCAAGCACGAAATAGAAAATTTAAACCGATTCTATCGCCCGTGCGGACGATGGAGTCGATCAGCTCACCCCGGTGCCGTTGTCGCAGACAACAACCCTCCTGTTGTCCATCTCCGTCCGACGCTTCAACAATCTTGTCCTCCGCTTAGAGACCCCGGGGAAGCGCGCATGCCTTCTAGTCCCTGCAGCTTGACGTTTCGATCTCAGCGATCGCCGTCTGCGGGAGATCGCAGGCGCCGAGGGGCTGAGAGAGATCCAGTCGACGGCGATGGCGGTAGCCGGCGACTGGCGAAGAACCTCGCCTCCGCCTTCCTCTCTATGTTGCCCAGTTCGAGCTTCCGGTCCGATCGGACCGCCGGGCCAGAGTCCAGACCGGAACGGTCCGGTCCGGTCCAATTTATCTCTTCCCGGTCTCCCAGCTATGTCCCCGAGGGAGCACAGGATCGAGATCAAACGGCTGGGTGGAGGCCAGATCGGCCCACCCAGAGGAAGGCCCGGATCCGGTTTTAGACAGTAAAGGTTATATAAAAGGGAATATAAAGTATATATGTATATATATCCTTAAAAATAAAATAGCTATGAGGACTTTTTGTTAAATATGACAATAATGCTCGAGTTCGGTAACTTTCTTGAATTGGCTGACGTCTCGTTGATTACTTATTCAGTACTTGTGCCTTGTAGTGCCTATCATTCACTCTATATATATGGTCATTATTATGAATTTAAAACAATTATAATAATTACATGACCACAAATTTAATAGTTTAAATAAATAATATACATTGACTAAATTAGTTTTACATGATAATATTGACTAGATTGGCATTAATTCTATTATTTTTTAATTTTGGCCCTTTTTGTATGAAATGAATGATTAAATATATATTTTAAATAATGTTGAATATCATGCTAAATATTAAAAAATGCATACTATTGAGAAAAATCATGATGCCAACACTCCTAAATATGACCAAAGAAGATGTTGATCTTGACACTTATCTTGTGGGATACCTCATTATGGGATTTGACTTTGAGATGTACCATAATAGTGTTGAGCATTTACCTTCAATAATACTTTCACTTGGTGGATCTTCATCTATGACTTTCCTTCTCATCTTCACTGAGAGAATTGAATAATGAGTGTTGATTATTCACCAACATCAATACTTCTACCAACTAAGTATTCAATTATGACAAAACTCTCCTCAATTATAATCATTCTAGTAAATCTATGTCAAAGATAATTTGGAATTGAAATTGAGAATATGACCCATCAGTTCTTGAACCTTGAGGTTTAATACCACAATTTATTCTATTAATATTGCCAGCCATTGAAAATTGTTCTTAGTATGAAATCATCATCACACCTTTAGGTTAAAAATGTAACAAACTCAATAGCTAAATAGCTCAATACTTCACTACTAAGATTTGTAAACATAAAAACACATGATGTCATGTGTGATAACATAGAACCATATTTTCTTAGTACAATTATAGCATACATTTATGAAAGTATGTAATGAGATGGGAGATATACTATCTTACTCATTTTTCACATTTTCTTTACTCACCTTTAAACCTCATATTGTTAAGACAAATTCAATTATAACTAAATATTATGTTGATGTCTTTAGTTTACAAATTCAACTTATATTAAAAAAATTATTTATAAATTTATTTATAAATGAGTTATTAAATATCTATTAAAATGCCAATAAATGTCATGATAGTTTACATCATAAGTTAAATATATTTGAGAAATATTTAAAATATATATCTCATAGTTACCAACAAATTTAAATAGTTACACCCTTGAAATATTTTTATATCAAAATAGTGTAATCTCCTATTACTATAATATAAGTACAAATAAACATGTGTCAACACATATGACGAAGTCTCATATACATCCAAAAATATAAAGTCACTTGTAAGATTATGAATGTAGGACATGAGTGATGTAGAGTCAAAAGCTTCAACAAGAAATATGTTTGTAAAATCGAAAAATACATGGTCAGATGTGAGATTTAAACTTAGGACATAAGTTACGCAAAGATGAGAAAAATGACAATTGAAATGTTTGACTATCATGAAAAGCAAAGTATAGGTGAAATTTGACATCGAGATCTCTATATTAACATACTGAAAATTTGAGCAAGAAAATATAAAATAATATATAAAGATTAATGGCTGAAGTAGGAATCAAACTCCAATCTTACACATGTTACCAGGGTACACCTACAGAAACCACCCTTAGCATTAGTACTGTGACACTTGCCAACACGACACCAGTGTGCTTTGGCACAACGCCTATGTGCAGGGCACAATGCTTGCGCATGACAACGTAGTGCCCACACATAGTGGCATGATGTCCACATGCGGCAGCACAATACACATGCACACCAGCACATCGCTTGTGTGCGTCGGCATGGCGCTCGCACACGCCGACATGACAACTGCGTGCACCTAGCATTGCGCCTATATGCGGTAGCACGACATTGGCCTCAAGAGACTGTGACATGGTACACCACTTCGACGTGGCAACCCAAGGCCACGAGGGCAGCCGATGACATCATGAGTGGCATGACAATTGTGTGCACTGGCACTGTGCCTACGTGCAGCAGCACAACATTGGCCTCAAGAGATTGTGACATGGTGCATCACTCTAACATGACAACCCAAGGCCACGAGGACAGCCGATGATGTCATGAGCATGACATCATTTCAAAGGAGGAATAGATGACGTCACCAACCTGATGTCACCCAAGGTAGGAACCCTTAATCCCATACTTGAAATGTGAGGACGACTAGCTAGGGGAGCATCCATAAAGGACACTTGGCCTCATGTTTGAGCACCTTGGATTATTAGAATTATCCTTATTGGTCACCTATGAGCTGTTGGGGATTCAATCATCCAAGCACTTGGAAAGAATTTCGTGCACAACAGTTGACATCCTTGTCACAGTGGCATCAGAGCCAGGTTGCAAAAAAGGTCATACTTCTCTACCCCTCCCCTTTTCTTTAGCATTAGTATAGTGCCATTGAAGTGGAAGGTAAAGTGGCTATGAAGGGTACCCAAGGGCAAGGAATTACTTAGTTGGTGGAGTAGCAAGAAGCCACAATTAAGACTGTTGAGACCCTTATGGGTCAATTACAGGTTGAGTCTAATAGTCTTTGAGAACAAATGGTGTGCTTGAAGACTCAAATGGAAGACCAAACTTATTAGGTAACTAATATTTTAATAGAGAAATTCAATGAAGAAATCAAGTCAATCTACAACTAGATGGGGGAGATGGCCACGTCATACAAAGCTTAGAAAGAAGACAAATCAGCATTGAGGAGAGAATTCAACCAATAGATGTCTAGACTACAACAACAAATAGAGGAAGTCATGAGCAATCTCTAAAGTAGGATAGGCAATGCACAAAGATCTATGAGGCAGGACCTAGGGGTCGAATCATCTCGAGTCAAAGCTCTCAAATCCATGGCTTACTGAAGGGAGCGGGATGTCATGTTGATCGAAAACTTCTTCTAAGACCTACAAAGATACCTCAATACCAATACTTCCTTGGAAGAATGGTGACCAAGCATGCCAAGACATAGTGGAGACTCCATATAAAAGACCGCTCAAGGCCACTAGTGACCAAGTGCAATGAATTCATTAAAGAGATTCAGGAGCAATTTCGCCCAACGAACTCAAGACAAGTCACTTAAACGACTATGAGGCAATTGAAACACACCATAGTTATCATGAATATGTTGAAAATTTTCAATGTTAGTATTTGAGGTAGTTAGGATGGATGAAGATGATAAACTCCACTACTTCATGAAGTGATTATAGATGTAGGCCCAAAATGAGATCACGAGGTAGGGTGCTTAGACTCTTTTTCAATGAAGTTGTTTTAAAGATTTACTTGAGAAGGTGGTCGAGAATTGCAACCATCAATTCAAACTCTTAATTTTCTATGAAATAACTCATTTATTTAATGTCTAAGAACTTCTTATAGAGGAAGCCGATCTAGATAGAGTTGAAACACTCTATGAGCTAATGTCAAAAGTCCTCACAGCTACAAAAAGGTACTTGTGTTTTGGTCCATTTGAACTAAGTACTTCTCATTCTAGGTTGATACAAGTTGTTAATAGTTTATTGATAGATGAGAATCAATACATAAAGAAATATAGTTGTGAAAATATGACCTAGTGGGCCCACATAAGAGATGAGCGGTCACCCTCTCTCTCTCTCTCTCTCTCTCTCTCTCTCTCTCTCTCTCTCACATCCTCTCACCTACCGTGACTTTCCCTTTTCTCACTTTCCTTTTCCCTCTTATATGTAACCTCTAATTTCTCTCTAATACTTAGGCGGTTTTGTCTCTCTTTTCTTGGCATCTCCTTCTCTTCTCCTTCGACATGGTATCAAAGCAAGTTGATCCTATCGTTCTTGCCACTGCTGCTTGAAGAGGAGGCTTTATCTCCCGCCGTCACCACCTTAGCTTGAGCTCATCAGACGTCATCCTATTTTTCGCCGCATCACCGCCATTGTTGCCTAAAGAGGAGGATTTATCTCCCATCGTCGCCGCCTTAGCCTAAACTTGTTGGATGCTATCTTATTTTCCACCGGCTTGAAGATGAGGTTTTATCTCCCAACTTCACCGCCTTAACCTGAACTTGCCATACACTGTACTATTTTCCATCATCTTGCAACACCTATCAAGCGCCGCCATTGCCTCTCGTTGTGCCTCTTCCATTGTTCTCGCCACCCTTCAGATGCCCCCACTACTGCTTTGTAAATCGCCACCTCCATCTAACTTCAACGTTAGTCGCCTTTTATGAAGCCAAAAATTCTTTTGGCATCTCCATTTGTCTCTACCAACCATAGGCAGACCACTAGTGCCTCAACCCTTATTGTTCTCGTTATGCCGGTGAATCTACTCCTTAATCAACTTCATTGTCTGGGTCCACCTCTCACTAAAGATAGTACCAATTATTGTCAATGGGCACATAATTTTCGTTGTTTCTTTAACATTCATGGCTATCACTAGTTTATTATAGATTTACCACCACTCGTCGATGACTCCAACTTGTCTGATCGAACAATGAAAGATGAGATTGTC